AAGGGTATGGAAGGAGGGAAACACTTGGAGAGACCCATCGACCTCTCTCGACATTGTAGGACACGTAGTCTCGCACGGATCTCCTACCACCAACCTTGATTCCTTAGATGAATCCTCATAACCCAGAGAGAGGGATGTGAAAGTGAGAGTTGCAAGTCACTCTCTCGGTATTGTTTTGCGGTCGGAGATCATAGTGCATTGTGGATTTGTCGATAGGAGGAGGAGGAGGAGGAGGCGGCGCTTGAAAAGGAGTAGAGGGGAAAGGAAGGAAGACGAGGTTGAAGAGGAGGAGGAGGAGGAAAGGTGAGAGGGTGGGGTTAGGAAGAAAGAGGAGGAGGAGGAGGAGGGAGGAGGAGGAGAGGGAGGAGGAGGAGGAGAAAGCGGAGGAGGAGGATGGCAGTTGGCATACCTGTGAGCCGGGGAGAGAAAGCCAAGTGCAGCCAGGACGAGAGTGATGAAGGCCATGATGAGAAGCTGTGGGAAAGAGAAGAGGAGGAGGAGGAAAGGAAGGAGGGAAGAAGGGATTAAGGAGGGAGCGGCAAGGGAGGGGGAGGAGAAGCAGTCGGAGGGATAGAGGGAGGAAAAGTGAAGGACAGAGGACACGTTAGTAAAGTTGGTGATGACTCAAGAAGAGAGCAACGAGGAGGAGGAGGAGGAGGAGAAGGATGCCGGCGATGGCGAATCAAGCGGGAAATGGGAAGGAGGAGGGGGAGGAGCAGCAGTTGATCACCTGGACTCCTGTAGCAACGTAGACAGAGAGGAGGGTTGAGTTGGGGGGAGCACGGAAGATATCGCCATGCAGAAGCTTCCATCCACTCTCTTCACGCAGGGCTGTGCTGTCCGTTCCCTGACAGAAAGATCAAAGAGAGGAGGAACAGGAAGAAGATCTAGACGGGAGTAGGAGAGGAAAACGGGGGGGGGCGAGAGAGGGAGGATGGAGAGAGAGGGAGCGAGAAAGAAGGGAAGGTACGGAAGGAAGGGAGAACAGTGACAGGAGGAAAGGGAGGACGTAGGAGGGATAGGAAGAAGTAAAAGGAAAGCAAGACAGTATGGATAGGTGATAGGAGAGTCAAGAAGAAGTGAAGAGGAAAGAGGTGGGCGGGCAGAGAGGAGCGGAGGAGGGAGAGTAGTAGGAGGGAGGAGGGAGAGAGATGGAGAGAAGCAGGGAAGGTAGTAGGAGTGTGGGAGATGGGGAGAGGGAGGGAGAGGGGGAGGGAGGGAGGGAGGGTAGTAGGAGAGTGGAAGGGGATGGGGGGCAGGAAAGAGGGAGGGAGGGTAGTAGGATAGGAGAGTGGAAGGGAGGGTAGTAGGATAGGCGAGTGGAAGGGAGGGTAGTAGGATAGGCGAGTGGAAGGAAGGGTAGTAGGATAGGCGAGTGGAAGGGAGGGTAGTAGGATAAGAGAGTGGAAGGAAGGGTAGGTAGGTAGGTAGGGAGGGCGAGGGTCGCAACCTCAAGCTCATCGTTGTATCTGCTCAGGTCATTCCTCAGCACGCGCGAGAAGATCATCCCGACGATGCCGGCGAGGAAGAGGAGGATAACAAACGAGTTGATGATGGAGAACCTGATGGGTCAGGTCAGCTGCTGCTGCAGGAGGAACACCTTGCCCACCAGTGGATGCGATCGTCGGTCATGCGGAGATACACGTCCCAACGAGAGGCCCACATGACCTGAAGGACACAGCGATTCAGCTCTTCTCCTCCTCCCTTTTGCTCTCCCCTCCTCTGCTCTGCTTTCCCTATCCTCTCTCCTCCTCCTCTCCGCCCCCTCTCTCCCATGTCCTCTCCTCGTCTGCACATCCCTTCCTCTTCCTCCATGCTCTTGCTCAACATTACCTCACTCTCTTCCCACACGATGTCATAAGTCCAGATCACCGATCCACCTGCAAACATTTCATTTTGCGCCCTCCTTCTTCTCCTCCTCCTCTTCCTCCTCCTCCTCCTCCTCCGCCTCCTCCTCCTCCCTCCTTTACCCATTATTCCGCTTCGCCTTCTCTCTTTCCCTTCCCCGCCCAACTCTCTTTCCCTCTTCTACCCCCCCCCTCCCCTTCTCCCCCCCCTCCCCCGGACCTTTGGAGGGCTCGATCTTCTGCGGCGCGTGCTCTGCAAACATCCCCTCGCCAAGGCAGGTGGTGAGGGGGCAGTTGGGGGCGCAAGACTCCTTCCAGTCTCCCTGGTAGGTGTGCGAGATGGAGTAAGGGTGGACGTGGAACCCGACGATGAGGTTGTCGTCGACGCTGACGCCCTTGGAGTCAAGTGCAGCCTTGTTGAAGCCTTTCTCCTTGGAGATGGAGTGGTACAGGATCTTGAAGCGCAGATGGTTGTTCAGCACTGTTTGAGCGTGAGAGTCGGCAGGAGGAGAGGAGGAAGGGAGGAGGAAGATGGAGTGAGTGAGTGAGTGAGTGAGGGAGGGAGGGAGCGACAAGAGGGAGTGAAGGAAGAGAGGGAGGGAAAAGAGGGAAAGAAAAGTAGCAAAAGGGAGGGGAGGGGAGGGGAGGGGAGGGGAGGGGAGGGGAACTGAATGGAATGGAATGGAAGGGAAGGGAAGGGATAGAAGGAGAAGGAGAGCAGGAGGAGACGAAGATAGGGAACACACAAAACGTGACTGTAACTGACCATAGTGCTCTGTGACGGCCTCGTCGGTGTGAACTTCTTCATGCAACTTGGAGCCAACAGGGTATCCTTCATACGTGACAAGATGTCATACTTGTGTAAGAAGCACCAACAACAACCAGGCAACAGCCAACACGCACAAACACGTCAGATTGCAACCATGGGTTTCATCATCTAGATCCATTCGCGGACATCGAGAAGTTTGAGGTTGAGAACAAACTCACCAAGGTTGTACGTCTCGAGAGTCTCTTCAGGACGATCCTAGGCCCGCGTCAACCTCCTCCTCCTCCTCCTCCTCCCCCTCCCTCCGCCCCACTGTCCCACTTAGTCTCCTGCTCCCTCCTCTCTCTTCCCCCCTCTCCCTTCTCTCGTCACCTCATAGTAGAACTTGGCAATCTCTGCTACAGGCAAGTTGTCCAGCCGCATGTTCACACGGTAATCGAGGATGGAGAAATCCTTGGAACCACCGTCATTCTGTCTAGCACAACCTGACACTCTCACCTGAAATTCCTCCATCTGTGCGGGAGTATATTCCTTCCTGCGAGCGCGAACTATCAATCCGCGCAGAATGCTTGCACACTCTCTCTTCATCTTCCTCTCGCGCCGGCCTTCTTCCCTCCCTCTCCCTCCCTCCTCCCATCCTCCCTCCTTCCCTCTCTCTCCTTTGCCGCCACACTCTCTTCCCCATCCTCTCACTTCCCCATCCTCTCACTCCCCCATAGTTCACCTGCATGCTGTTCTGCAGTATTCGTTCACCTTCATCTTAGCCTGGTGCAACTGGTTTAGGAGCGAACAGGTCAAGAGGGGGGACCTTGAACATCGAGTTGTGTGCTTTCTCTCCTGCCACAGCCTCTCCGAGATTCTCAGGCAGATCCACGATCTTGGCAGTATCAGTCAGACGGGGAGCGAACAGAGGCGTTGGAAAGTGAGTGAAGAAGGGAGGTAAGAAGAGGAGTAAGAAGAGGAGTAAGGAGGAGAGTAAGAAGGGGAGTGAGAAGAGTTAAGTTTGAAAATCATGTGGAAAGTCAGGAGGAAGGCGACAAGACATGTCAATAGGAAAACCCTCAACAAGGAGGGCAACATCAACATCAGCGACACAAAGGGCTCTATCCACACCTTCTTGGGCTTGCAGAAGGGGAGTTGGTAGTAGTCGAATTGCAACTGACTCTCGCTGCGATCCATCTCACTCGGCTCGGAGCAACCAAGAGCGCAGCAGCAGCAGCAGAATCGAGGAAGAGGGCGAGGAGGAGGAGGAGGAGGAGGAGGAGGAGGAGGAGGAGGAGGAGGAGGAGGAGGAGGAGGAGGAGGAGGAGGAGGAGGAGGAGATCAAGCAGCAACAGCAGCAGCAGCAGCATCCTGCATGCTCCTCTACTTGCCTCGAGAAGAGCGTCTGCACTTTGATGTTCACCTGCTCGCCATCCTTGAACGTCCTCGGGCTGACCCCTGCCCCCTCGTTAGCGGCGCATGACAGCTCAGCAGGGAGGAACCGGGAAGGTAGAAGGGCTGGACGACAGATACCAGGAAGCAAAGCAGCAGGAGCACACGGAGTTTCATCCTGCAAACCTCCCCATCAACCCCTCTCCTCCTCCTCCCTCGCTCACACACGACTACAGCTGGACCTCTCTTCCCTCTCTCCTCGCCCAGCACAGCCAAACAGCCATCGCCATGGAGCTCAGCGTCTCTCAACCCGCTCTCCTTCCTCATCAAACAAGTTTCATTCCATCCCTCATCTCCTCCCTCTCCTCCTCCTCCTCCGCTCCCCCGCCTCTGCCTGCCTCGCTGCCGCCATGGCTCCCACGTCACTTGTCCTCTAGCCTCCCATCCTATGCCTCCCCGTGCGTCTTTTGCTGTCTCTGTCCCTGAGGCAGGCTTGAAATGCTCCACCAGTTTGCTGAGTCACTGCCGGGCCCGGCCCGGCCCGTCACTCAGCTACCCGGGCTGCTCTTTCTAAAGTTTACTCAAAGTTAAGTTAAAGATCAGTACTAACCGTCGCCCGAGCCGGCCCGGGCCCGGTGAGGCTTTTAGTCAAGGCCGCACCGGGGAATGGCTGAAACGACTTTGAAACGGCTGAATAACTTAGTAACGGCAACGGCCGGAAAGCGCGAAATGAGCATGAAAGAATGAAAATCATGAACATCTGGCCGGCACAACAGCCGATAAGGAGGAGGAGGAAGAGGAAGAAGAAGAGGAAGAGGACGAGGACGAGGAGGAGCAAGAGCAAGAGCAAGAGCAAGAGCAAGAGGAGGGGGAGGGAGAGCGAGATGGAAAGAAGAAGACGATGCGGTTGATTGGAAGATGGTATGCCCGAAAGCTTCGGCCAAGTGAAAGCATCAACAACATGCGATATGAACAGAATTAGGTCAAAGGAGGTACATCAGCAGGATCAGAGGAGTATGCGGCGATTGCAGAAGCAGGGAGAAGGTACACGAAAGAATCTGAGGTCAAGATGCAAATGATAGCGGGTGGGAGGTTATCACGGGGTCAGGTTGTGACGATCTGACAAAGGTCAGTCGTACATCGATGCAGTATACAGACAAGGGAAGTCTGAATCCTCATTGGAATACTTCGAATCTTTGTTGTTGTCATGATTACTGCTCGATGATCTTTGTGCTTTCATGACCTTAGTTTCAATTGGTTAACTGCATAATTGACAGATGTCTTGGCGATGCTTTCCCCGTGAGTGAGATAGTCGGGAACTAGTTTGAAGAGCAGGAACTAGCGAACTTAGCAGCATGTCTCGTCCTGGCACAAAGGGTTCAAACCCCAGCGGGAAAGTGATGAATGCTGACGACGGGATCCAGGAGGTCTTACCGCTCCTTCCTACTTCCTGCTGCCCTCCCCCTCCCTCCTTCCTTCTCCCTGAACCTCTCTGTCCTCTCCACTCGTTGGTCTACTTTCCACCTTCGCTCCTCTTTTTCTTTTCCCATTTCATTCTCCCGCCCTTCTGCACCCCATCGTTGAGTGTAGTCCGCTCCCTCCCCTATCCCCCCCCC